TTTACTTCAAATATATCGCTTTGTTCATTGAAACGAATTGACCTGTTAGGGAGAATTCCACCAGAATAAATTCAATCTATACAAATAAATAAAGTTGAAGTGCCTGTTTGTAATGCCACAATAACAACTTTTTGATAAATGCATATAAAAGTAGGTACATACGGTATCTACTAATAAGAAAAAAAAATTTTTGTCTGTCTGTCTGTGTGTGTTGTCTAATCTCCGAAACAGCTGAACCGATATGTTTCCTAGACTAAATTATAACGCGACAGCGTCCTAATTTTTTATTTCTAAATGTAAGTGTGACCGCAGTTGCCATAATAACTGAAATATTTTATTGCCTTCTTGAACTAATTTTCTTTATGATTACACTTGCCAATTTTGCAGTACTACGTTAATATACAATTATTAAAAGAGATTTATATATAACTAGCGACTTACCCTCGCTTCGCTCGGGTCGTCGTTAGGTACGTTTTAATTTTTTTGAACGGAACCCTAATTCTTTTTCAAAAATTCAACATCAGCAATCTGCCGCTCGTTAAAATTAGTTTAGCCGTTTCGGAGATTAATCGGAACAAACAGACAGACAAACAAAAAATTTAAAAATTGTGTTTTTCGCATAAGTACTGCAAATAATTTCATATGCATTTAGTAAAAATCTGTTATTTTAACATTACAAATAGACACTTCAATATTATTTATGAGTAAAGATATGGAAAAATTAAAATAAACACTGGATTTTTTGCGCAACGAATTAAATACGCATTATAATAGATATATTGTAATACAATATAACATAATATGTCCATAGAATCATGACATTGCGGGTTGCCTTTGTCGAATGCAATGCAATTTATTGTGGCTCGTCTACGGCATTTCCTGTCATACCTGTAGACATTTAATTCTAACGCGATTCTGTATAACTAAAATTATCTTTACATATAATAAAACTGTAATCAAGCCGAATCCGTACATTAAATATTTATTGGAAAATCTTATTGAAATAGACATTATTATCGATACGAGCGCCGAATCTATAGTTTTTAGAATTTTTGTCTGTCTGTCTGTGTCGTGTAATCGCATCACGGAAAAACCACTAGAGGGATTTTGATGAAATTTGGTATGATGATAACTGATTATCCGAGTACTATCCTAGGTACATATAGGATACTTTTTACTGCGGAAAAATATCCGATTTCTGAGAAATCTATACTAAATGTTAAAATGTAACTAAGGACGAACTCGAGCAGAGCGTGGGTTAGCCGCTAGTTGATATATATAATAATTAACATATTGACGAATAATCACATGTGCAAATACAAATTTAACGTTTTTAACTTGACGTAAAATAGAGAAAGAAATAGCTATGACACACTTTTTCTTTACATAGTGTCTACCAATAGCAGACTTTCTTTTAATTTAATAAAAAAATACATTCTTACAAAAATGTTGATTTACAAAATACTTTATTCTTCAACGAATTCATTGAAATTGCTTAATATATCTATTATATTAATGTTTGCTGGATCCCGGAACAATTTCAAGGCGGGCGATAAGTTATTTCTTCGTAGACCGTCAGAAAGATCGATGTCACTCACCTTAAATGTTTCAATTCCTTTATAAAATACTAATATGGGTAACCTATAAATATACACTGCATTGCTGATGAATTTCGAGAACAAAGAGCCAATTAAAAATAAAAAATCGTATTTAAAAAAGCTTTCGGAACGAAATGTTTTACGCGTATTTTTGCTTTTACCATAAAAATCTTTCTATATTTTTACGTGTATGTTTTCTTTTTGCCTCGATTAATCTAACTTTATTTTGTATTACCACTTTGTATTTTTTTCTTACCATATATATATATATATATATATATATATATATATATATATATATATATATATATATATATATATATATTGTGTGTGTAATTTTAATCAATTCACACAATTTTACAAAAAAGTTATAATACTTACAAGAATAGTTTTTAATATATAAATATTGATCTATTAGTGTATTAAATTAAATATGAATAGGTGTATATTAAATACTAGCGCTTCCCCAAGGCTCCATATGCGTAGTTCACTTATGTATTACCTAGGTACTATATAAAAAATATAGATTTTGGGTTACTTTGAAAAATAAGCTATATAACTATATATACTGTAATATAAATAGCTATACAGAATTTGACTAATTTAGATGCCTAGAGAAAACTGTTTCAAGTATGATACTAGATGACTATACTCAAATTGAATATTATATTAAATAAGATCATAATTAAATTCAATTAACTAGTCTTAAAATTATATATAAAAATATTATATACACACACAAGAACAAGAGTGTGTTGATATCTGTTATGTAATGAATAAGAGTTTTACTACAGCTATACCTATTACTAGCAATATATGTATAAGTTTTATTTAAAATGTCAAATATTCGCGTAAATGTAAGATATATGAATATAAGTATAAGTTATATTCATTTCACTGATGCTAAGAAGACTGGCGAGTTGTGGATCAAAGTATCCAACATTCTAATAAGTAATTAAAACTTTTTTTGTTATGTAAGTAAACAACAGTAGCAAGAACAGTTTACGGTTTAAAATGCTCTTGTTAGACAGAAACCATTTTAATATTTTACTAACATTCACTTATTTTACATTAACAAATTATATTTTAATATTTTACTAACATTCACTTATTTTACATTAACAAATTATATTGTTGCAGTGTTTACTTTCAAATTTTTAATCATTAAAAATTATAACAAAAACCTTGTACAATTTTCTTTATGATTGTACATTAACACAAACAATACACTGGAATCTGTATGACACCATCACCTGAACATAATTATTCTAAGAATCAACAAGGACATATCTACAGATAATAAAGAATCAGTGTGGCAGTGTGGATTCAACTTATGTAGTACAATTGTATGGAGATTAATTATTATTTGGCATTATGTGCACAGAAAAAATATCTGCTGTTGGCAGCATTACAAAATAGGTTCCCACCATTTAATATTGATACATGTAAATACAGAACATAGTAAAAATATTCGTTTAATAATTAATAACTATAAAAAAACACTTATGTGATATTAGCACCTTGATACTGAACAAGCAATTTGAAAGATAATATATTCACAGTAAAATACAACTCACAGCACACCATAACCTTTATTGCATAAACCAACACCAATGCTAGTTCTTGTAGGAACAATTTGTAATAAAAATACCTAATAAGTTAAAAATATGTAGTCTCCATATAACTGAATAACAATATGTTGCAATACAAATAAATCACATATACCTTTAAATCTTTGGCTTTTAAATAACAATGTAATTTTTAAAGCTTTTTTAAAGATGTAATTATTAACACATTGTTACATTTTCTACAGCCAAAGATAGGTAAAACGGTATGTTTATATGCCATTCAAATAATTTATATTTCAAACTAACCTCACAAGCAGGCAGTTAGATCCACTCAGGAGCACTTGTGTTATAGCCAGGCATCAACTGTCCTGTGGAAAACCAGCAAATTGTTGCATGTCCATTAATTATTTCCCTTATTAGTTTATAACAATTAATGGCCCAATATTATCATACAGTCAAGGATACTATACTTGGATAGGAGCCAAGATCTTGCACTGAAGCGAGCAAAACTGAAAATCATCGATGCAATCATGGTGTAAGATGCGAGAACGTGTCACAATAATGCGCGGGATTAGTAAACAAATATGGGATGAAGGCCAAAAGCGATTGCATAATACCCCTTGTACACAAAGGTGTTAAAACGTGCATGGTAATATTAAGTACAAGCAAAAGAAACTATAGGAGATTAGATATCACATAACAATGATAAAATACTTACAAAACTTCTTCCACGAAGGGGCATTTCACTCACAAAAAATAAAATTCACAGTTTTACACTACAAATAATATCAAAGTATCAAATTCACTAGTGTCACGCCACTAACACAATTTCTAAACAATTTTATTCCGTCTGTCTCGCCGTTCTCAGCAGATAAAATTTGACAGTAGTGTTCCCCTTTCTAGAACAATCACATAAATAATCCATTTCACGCATTGAATTTAGTTTTTTCCGAAAAGTTACGGTAATTACATATTAACTATTTTTGAAGAAATATTATATACTATCTCTATTCTTTAAACTAGAAAAGTAAAGTAAGTCTCAAATATTATGTTTGCATTGAAATGCTCTGTAGGTAGTCTGTACTTGTCTGTATTGGAATTGTGCTACGCCGCACTACGGCTAAACTGCCGCGGTTTTTATTTTAATCGTGTGACTTTAAGAGTCAAGTAAACTAATACAAGCAGCCTTGCGGGTTTGTTCCGCGGGGCGCAACTGATTTTAGAACCGCGAATTGTTACAAAATGGCTCGCGGGTAAAAACCGCGCTAAATTTGTAACCTATAGCTAACTTAGTTATCGCGCACGCACTACCGCGTTATCCGCGCGCGATTTTTTGGTCAATAGTCGGCAGACCAATACACATTGCTGTCTTGAAATCCATTTTCAACTGTAAACGTGTATGGTTTTTAATCGTAGTGTTTGCTTCTCGAGCGGTTTCGCGATTATAGCTGTTAACCACCCGCTGGAAAAAAACCATAGTGCGGTCTTTGCCTTATTTGTGATCTATATAAAATAAATACTTGATCTTTATAGTATAACTATAGTATTATAAGATCTATGATCTTGTGCACTTATTGTCATCCATGACTGCAGATGAGTGATGACAGATCTTGACGATCACGTGTACTCGGTTAAATTAATGTTCAAAATGAAAATTGAATGTTTTTAGTCTTTACAAATTATGCGTAGCATCTTTCTATAGTTTGTGTACACTGTACAATTAATGTCATAATGCTACATAACCTTCTGGTATTTAAAATAGCAAACTTAAAAGGTTTTTAAAATATGGCCGCGTAATTGTTTTTCTATTATTATTCTTATCAATCTTATCACCATGGAAAATATTTTGATTCAGAATAAAGTGAAACTTCTATTTCAAAAAATAGCTGAACCACATTATGTTATGAATAATTACTATGCTGATCATTTTTTTACAAAAATAAACTGTGAGGATCCTGGTAAGTCTGATAACTATGTAATTTTATTTGTTATTAAACTTAGCAAATATAAAATCTTAAAAAGTTTGTCTTATAAGAGAATTTAAAGAATCATTGTTATTATCGCTATAAACAATTAAATACATATGTACACATTAATATATACTTACTATAATTAAAATGTTCTATTTTAGAAGTTGCTGCTCTAAAATCATGGCCTTTACTGCCTGATCTCCTTATAGAGGCCTTAAGCTGTGAGGACAGTTATCACAATACAGTTAAAGTGTTTTTGGTGAGAATATTAGGCGTTATTGCATCGGGGGAGGTTAATTTTGCCAAAATATTCTCAAAAAAAGGTGAAGAGATTTCAAAAGCTTTCAGTGAAATTAATGCTCAGGACATGGACACTAGCCTTAGAGTAGCATACATGGAAGTTGCTCTCGCTCTCCTTAATCATAATTCAGGTATTTGTTGGCTCCTTGAAAGTGGTGCTTGGCAACAAATACTTTGCTTATGCCATGAAAAACGAACAGTTTTTGTTGTAAGACAAACATACAAATTTGCATCTATATTTCTTTGGAAACTTAATGATTTAGGTAGTGAAGCAAGCATTAAGTTAGTGCTGAATTTCATACTGAAACCAATAGTGGAAATTGATTTTATAAAAATAGATTCAATGACAAGTGAGGAAGAGGATGTTATATGTAAAACACTTGAGCCCATGCTGCAAATATTAGTATCTGTTGTTAGTAATGAGAGCAATATAAAGACACAGAATTGTATCATTGATTTCTTGCTAAAAGATTTTAAAATTCTAACTTACTGTTATGTAATGTTGGATAGGTTGAGGAGAGAAGATGTCTCACTTCTTATAACAAAATTTCTATTTTGGTTGACAATTGGAAAAATATTTCTTACTAAACCAATAACTTCAAACATTGAATACGACAGAGAAGATTTTATGGAAATCAGTGTGACTTATTTTAACATAATCCAGCATCTGATTCAAAGACGATGTGCAACTTTAATTTTTGATTTTTGTAATGCTTGTAATTTAATATGGAGCAGTGTTTGGATTAATCAAAAACCTGCCATATGGGAACTGGATGGTAGAAGAGTTGAACTGCAGAAACAATTATTGGTTATTTGCCTAGTACCATCTTTAGTGTATGTAAATCTTAAAAAGAGTTGTACAATGGAAACAGATAGAGTTAAGGAATATATTATAAAAATTTTAAATTCAACATGCGAGCATACAATGCGAACTGCTTATTCTTTGAGAGATTTAATGCTTCAATTGGACACTCAATCTATTACATTACAAAGTGTAAAACGATTGACTTGCCTTAAAAAGAACTTAAACAATGAGCAAGCCAATTTAGTTTTTCAAACACTGTTTTATGTTATAAAAGAGTACGACCCTATAGATGATGAAGGTATTTTGAAAAAAGAGCAAGAGACCTTTGAAGACGACCAAGAGAAAGTACTTGTGTTAACATATGTACTGGATACTTTATTGTGTCTAGTTAAGAACTACAATATAAATTGGCAAGAGAGTTTGGAAATTCTATGTCTTTATACAGTGGTTTTCAATATTTTAAAGAGACCAAACTTGTCATGCAAAGTAAGTTCCATTATAACATATTAAATAATTTAACAGGCATTGATATATAAAAATATAGATAGATATATAATTCCTAACAAATATCTCTCCAAAAAGTGGCATTGACACTGTGACAATAAGTCAAACTAAAGAATAAAATTCAAAATTCGAAAGGTCTAATTGTCTAAACACAAATTCGAACTTATGCACACCAAATAAAGTACTTTTTCAAACAAAACCATGTGCCTTTAATTTTGTCACCCAAAAAGCAATGAACAAAACAGATTGAAAAAAGTGCTCAATTTCGAAGTGTACCCTTATTTTTGAGGAATGTAGTGTATCTTGAGGTTTTGTATATCAATGTTAACAGGTTATATATATAATCTATCATTTTTGTTTTTCAGTTTGTAGTAATAGCTTTAAATGTAATAAAAGTGACTGTTAAGAAGTTCCTAACTCCAAACTTATTATTATTAATGGAATCTAAGCCAGGCACTTCGATGGATGAACTTGGCAAGCTTATTTATATAAAGATGCAAGATTTCAATTGGGAAGTGAGAGACTCGGCACTTGAGTTATTATATGTCTGCACAAATATTTGTTTTGTTAGTAAGTAATAATTTATTTTGTTTTTTTTTTCAAGTACTTATGGGCATATTAAATAAATAAAGTTTTTTTTATCTATACTAATATTATGAAAAGGTAAAGTTTGTGAGTTTGTGACGTTGTAGGGGGTAATTACTGAATCTACTAAACCAATTTAAATGAATTTTGGTAAGAAGATAGTTTGAGACACTAGGAAAGACATAGGATACTTTTTATCCCGGAAATCATCTCTTACGAGGGTGAAAATGGGGATGCAAGTTTGTATTAGGAAGCAAGCTCCCTAGCTTGCTTCCCAATACAAACTTTTATCCCCATTTTCACGTCCCTACGAACCCAAGCAAAGCGAGGGTGAGTCGCTAGTCTACTATAGTGAGAAACTGGGATATGATATCCAATGACATTTAATCTTAGGCAAATACTTAATTTAGCCACCATAAGTGTATAAGTGAACCTAATAGATGTAATGGAATAAGTCAGCCTGTATCTCTTTTTTGCCAATTTTCATAGGATAATGATTGTATTTGGGCAAAAGGAGTGAAAGATAAAAAAGATGAACAAATACAATAAAACATTTCTTTTCGTTTTTAAATGACATATTAAAAATAAAGTCTTTTTACAGAATTCCCTCCACTACAAAAGCAGATTTTCTCAAATAACCTGATAAACTTGGCAACTACAGTAGCTCTCAATGATCATGAGTTCTACGTGCGCGTGTCAGCGCTCAAGTGCCTTGGTGCTGCGTGCAAAGTGAACACTCTGTGGGACCATTTGAAGACGGAATTTCCTAACATACAGGTGGGGTACGCTAGAAATAAAGCAATAAGACAAAAAGACCCTTGACAACACTCAAGCGGAGCGAGAGTTAGTGACTTACATTACATGTTTAAAATGCAAATAAAATTGCCGCTCAAGTCTTGTAACTAATGCACATCGATGCTAATTTAGTACAAAAGGTGAGATCTGTATCCGCAGATATTGGCTGTAATTATCCGCATCCGTATCCGCAGTTAAATATTTCCGATACGGCACATCTATTAAGTACATAAAAGCGTGATGAGCGTACATGACGTGTTAATCTATACATATAATAAAAATGTTACTAAGCCGAATCTGTACATTAAATATTTTTTGGAAAATCTTATTGGAATAAACATTATTATCGATACAGAGGCCAAATCTATAGTTTTTAGAATTTTTGTCTGTCTGTCTGTTACCGCATCACGGAAAAACCACTGGAGGGATTTTGATGAAATTTGGTATGGTCATAGCTGGTTATCCAGGTCAACATATAGGATACTTTTTACCGCGGGAAAATCTTATTTCTGAGAAAAAATACAAAAACTGCTATGTAAGAGTATACTAATATGTAAAACCTAAGAATTTGGTTTTTGGTCATCTGAACGCGGGCGGAGAGGCGGGCTATACTAGTTATAGAATAAACCATAAATAATTGAAACTGAGCAAGTATGAGTCGGATCTCCTGTAGAAGATTCAACTTAACTTTGTATTTTTTTTGTAATATTAACCTTTAGGATACATAATACTAAAAAATTGGTTGCAACATATTATTCGTTAGCATATGATTAGCGTAATAGTAAGAACGTGCAAACTGTATAAAATATTATTATTAAAACATGATGGTAACTGCAAAATGATGTCATATTAAATACAATGATAACACAGATTTGTGCTTTGTTATTATTATGATATAATGATAGGTTACCTAACATCAGGAAAATAATTTTGAACAAGAAATAAGTCTTTTTAAGACTTTGTACCAATCGTAATCTAAAAACTCCAATCGGGTGAGAAAATTTTTCAACGATATAAGCACCGCATATTTGATTTAAATTTTTATGTCCCTAAATTTTTGTTCTCAGGAACTGCTCATAACAATACTGTCTAACAACCCAGAAGGAATAGTTCGCAAAGAGGCATGTAATGTATTTTGTGAAATATATCAAAATGTTAAACTGACACCGGATTTCAAGACTATTCTATACAATCTCATGGTGTCATCGGCGCTCAGCGATTTTCATTGGGAAGTTCAACTGAGTGCTCTGAAGTTTTGGAGAGTTGTGATACAATCGCTGTTAAATGATCAAGGCATGCTCGATGGTACATTCCCTCCAGTAACATTTTCCAGAGAAACTAGGAAAATTGTTACCCTCAATGAACAGGAGATTCAAAGACGATTAACTCGAATCTTGGAAGAGCTCTCTTCTATTGGATGTCTCACAGTATTAGTTAAATTACTGCATGAGGAAAATGAAGTGGACATAATGGATGCAGCTCTTACAATTTCAACGGAATTGCTAGAAATTCTGTATAAGTATAATGTTCCTGAAAATCTTAAACAAAATGAGAATGAGCCAAGGAGTATCGACGAACTGGAACAAATCAAGCAAGATACTGCAAATTTCTGTGATAATGGGGACATGGAAGAACCAAAAAATTTAGCAAAGGCTGAAAATGTTATAGAGAGCATATTGAATGCAGATGATATTAATTTATTAGCTAAAATATATGAGAGACATATGAGCCTGCAGCCAGAAGAAACAGAGATTCTGACCCATAGTCAAACAAGACATGTAAAGTTTGTTTCTCCATATTTCTTTGTCTCTTTCATAAGAAGCAAGAATTTCAAACAAGTCATAGAACAAAAGAAAAATTGGAACGATGGCATCAAAAGTCTCTCATCATTGCTAGATGATGTTCTGGGTATATATGAAGTTAATGATGATGTTAACTCATTAGATTGTTACTGAGATTATACAGTACCTCTGTTTTTTAGGTTAAGAATTTAGAATTAAATTATATTTTTATAGGTTATATGTTGTCTCATTTATCTTACTTAGCAAAAACAAATTGTGTTTTATAATTATTTTAGAATGTTCTAACATTCGTATAAATTTCAGGTTTATCTACAGAACTCTGCATCTATTTAGATCTCAATCCTTTTGTCAGCGAAGTTATATGTCACGCATATTCTTAACTTAAATTGAACTTGGCTTCCATTTTTACAATTATGTTTTTGATGGGATGTTATTACTTTTTGTACAGAAATTATTATTATTCATCATTTAAAAGTGATCTGTAAAGTCCAGTAATCTGCATTTCGACTAGCGTTTATCCATACTAATATTATAAATGTGAAAGATTGTATGGATATTTGTTACTCTTTCACGCCAGAACGACTGAACAGATCTAAATGTTTGGCACAGAGATAGATTATATTCTGGAATAACATATAGGGTCCTTTTTATCCCGGAAAAATGTATGGTTGCCGTGGGATAGGTTTATTTTCGTTTTTGCTAGTATTAAATATGAATTCTTCCTTATGTATCCTTCCCTTACCTACCTAGATTTCTTGTAGAGATTATGTACATTTTCAAAGTGTCTAATAATTGAATTGAATCAGAGCTCTTCAAAATCACAGAATTTTACTATTTTCAAATATAAGTAGCAAGATCGTGTAAGAATGTATTTCTTCCATAATACAATTCTTCGCAAAGATGACGGTGCTGCCATTTTGTGTTATTTTGGTTGTCTAAATTTAATAAATAATCTGGTATAAGAAACGATAAAGTGATCTATCATCATGGAACCTATTCTCCTGTGAAAGAAAAACTTATCGATATTGCTATTATAATTTCGAAAGTCCCTTGGTGTTAATAAAAATTGTTTTGTGTGGTGTTAATAAAAATCATAAAAATTCAGTTTTTTAAATTTTTTCCTTTGTAAACACAACTGCCCAGGTGGATGCCAATTTTCAACTTTCTAGATCTTCTGAAAATGGGTTAGATTCTTGGATCTATATATCAGTCAGTGATAAAAATGCTGATTTTTTAGACGTTAATATCTCAATAACCATTTGAGCTGTATTTATGAAATTTGGGGTTCTAGTTAATCTAAGGGGATTTAATGAACCAAATTTTATGCATTTATGTTAAATAGATTTTGAGTTATTATATGGTTTTATTGATATGATACCGCATGTCTAGATACAAAACGGCTACTTGCATAATATTATTGCATGGGTACTTATTTGCAAAGTTTTTTTAAAAAGGTTTTTACAAACAAAATTGTTTCAAAGTATTAAAATAGAGTTTAAATAAAATTATTTTAACAGTATATTACACTTTAATTTCTAAATAAAACTAATATTATATAATGAATTAACATCTAATCAATTTCTATGACAGCCCCAACCTTGGACAGAGCTTCTTTAAGTTTTTCTGCTTCATCTTTGGAAATATCTGCTTTGACAACAGTAGGTACACTTTCTACGAACTTCTTTGCTTGCACCAGATTGAAGCCTTCTAAGAGACTCTTAACTTCTTTGATTAGTGCTACCTTTTGCTTTTCATCAAATTTAGTCATTTTAACCTGAAATAGATAGACATATATAGAATATTTATGAATGATTATTTCAATAACACCATATAGATTTACATAAATATTGTAAATATACTCTGACAAGTTTTATTTCAATACTCACAGTAAAGCTGGTCTTAACAGTTTTAGGTGTAGTATCTTCTTCTTCCTGAGCTGCAGGGGCTGCCATAGCAAAACCTCCCATTGGCATCACAGGTGCGTCAGGAAGGTTTAGCCTTTTTTTTAGAACTTGGCTTAGTTCAGATACTTCTAACAAATTGAGAGTTGTAATTTCTGATACAATTTTTTCAATTTTCGGAGATACTGGCTTGTCTACGCCTTCAGGTGGTGGTATAGTTAGTGGATTAATAGCTTCTGCTACATCTTGTTGAAGTATTGAGCTGTAAATGTAATTCATTACAATAGATATTAAAGAACGAGGTACATTCTGTTGTTTGTAGTAAAAATATTCTGTTCGATAGAAAATTGTCTATTGTAATAAATTTATCAACATTATAAAGTAATAAATTTATCAACATCGATAAAAATCTGAAGAATTCTTTGATCTAAAAATATAACCTATAAAAGAATAAATAATATATACCATCGTGAAAATGAACGCAATTGGCTAAAAGGTAATCTCCTTACGAGTCTGATATTGTTCATTGTATTTATTAATTTGAATCAATATAAATTTCGAAAAATTCTCAGCAAATAATTCAATCGCCTGCTTGATTAATAATTTATAAAACCACCATAGAGTCAAGCGTGTAGATTAGAGACATGGATGACAAATAAATTAGAGAATAAAGAATACTGAATAGTCAATATAGATACAGATTAAAAATTTTAACCTACACAAAAAATCTATGGATAAAATCAAAATTTATATAAAGTGTAAAGCCTGGCAGTCACCGACTCAAATACGCCGAATCAAATCTCCCGCACGCTTTGATCGTCAGGCGAATTTCTTCGGCGACGCGTTTCGATTCGATTCGGCGCGCCTTAATCGACGCGGGGAATCACATGCGCACCGGCGAGTTTTTTGTATATTATTTAAAGAGTACCTATGTTTCGTGAAAAGAAACAATAATTAACTATTATGTTATACTATAACTAAACTATTATACTGTATACTTAAAGATTTACCCTCACTTCGCTCGGGTTTTAATTTTTTTAGCAGAACCCTAATTCTTTTTCTAAAATAAAAGTATATAGCGTAAGGTCCCCCTTATAACATCAGCTATCTGCCAGTGAAAGTCAGACGGACAAAAATAAAAAATATATTGTGTTTCTTATAAGTAGCGTGGTTTCATGTTCATTTAGTAAAAAACTGTTAATTTGAGATTACAAACAGACACTTCAATTTTATCTATCTGTATAGGATTATATTAAACTTAGAGTTAAGAAGATCGATACTCGATTCTTCTCGCTCGCTACGCCCCATGCGGGGGAGGAGTGGGGAAATGGCTTCAGGGCTATGCCCTCTGGCCATGGTATCACTCGCCGCTCATGACTATGAGCGCGTCCTTGGAGAGGCCTCATTAAGGCCTTTTTCTGGTGTTCTTTGTAATCCGGAAGGTCGGCCTGGTTTTTTTTTTTTTGGCGACCGTTAGCCGAGTTAGCAGTTTTTAGCTTCTAGTTGTTAGGCCATCTCTGGGGAGCGCTCTTCTGTCTGGAGGACGAGTGTGCCATGGGGCGATGTCTCGTATGTGTGAATGTGCGGATGCGTCGGCTCTTTCGAACATTCTTTCTGTCTGGCGTCGGATGCATTCGTCCAGGCTCCCGAATCGAAGGTCTCGCGTTATCGTCGAGTTTCTTACGAAGCGGGGAGCTTGGGTTGCACGTCGTAGGGCTTTGTTTAGTAGTCTTTGGAGCCTTTTCTTTGATGCGTCGCTTGTGAGGGCTATCCATGCTGGAGCGGCGTATGTTATGCGCGGCACTATGTATGCCTTGACTAAGTTTATTTTTGTTTTGAGCGGCAGTGTGGAGTCGAAGATGGGGCGGAGTTGACAGAGGGCTGCGTCTGTTTTTGCTGCGGTGTTTTTGACGTGTCGGTACATTGTGAGATTTCTATCTATTGTGACCCCGAGGTATTTGGCGGTCTTTTGCCATTCGGTTTCTTGTCCCTCTAGCTTTAGTTTTGGTATCTTATCGCGATGGTATAGGCCTGTGGCCAGGCTCTGCGTTTTTGCGACGTTCACCTTCATGCGCCATTTGGCGAGCCAATCTGGTAAAAGGTCCAGGGACCTCTGGATCTTGGCGGCTGCGTGTTTGGGTCTGATGGAGCTCGTTATTAAGGCAACGTCGTCGGCATACAGCGCGAGGGAAGTGGATGGATCAAGCGGAATGTCGTCGGTGTATATCGAGTAGAGTGCCGGGGATAAACAGCTTCCCTGCGGCACTCCGGCCTTGATGGCTCTTGGTGTTGAGATTTTTGAGTCCACTCTTACGTGGAAGCTTCTGTTTTTCAAAAAGGATGCGATGACATGGAGAAGTCTTCGAGGGGTGGCGTTGTTGGCCAGCTTGTAAAGCAGGCCTTCGTGCCACACCCGGTCGAAGGCTTTCTCCATGTCTAGAAAGGCGGCTACAGCGCACTCTTTCTTGTTCATGGCCGTCGTCATGTGGTGGATGACCCTTGTAAGCTGTAATGTTGTTGAATGGCCGGAGCGGAAACCAAACTGTTCGGGGCGCGGATTGTTGTGCGCTAGAATAGTTGGAAGTATGAGCTTCTCGAACAGTTTGGAGACGGCTGATAGGAGGGTTATTGGTCGGTATCCTTCTGGTTTTATGGGGTTTTTCCCCGGCTTCGGAAGGAGGAATATCTCTCCTCTCTTCCAGGGCTCGGGGAAATGACCGCTGCGTAATATGGCATTGAAAAGGCGGGTTAGTGCGGCTATTGTGCGCCGAGGCATTTGGCGAAGTGCATTATTCGTGATTCCGTCTGTTCCGGGGGCCTTCTTCTTTGGTAGAGTTTTGATTGCTTTTGTAACCTCTGACGGGGAGAAGAAGAAGGTCTCGTCTTCCTCGTCGAGTGGCGGATTTATCTCCTCGGCGATGCATTCGGCTACGGCACGCTCGTGTTGGTTGTTTCCTGGATCATTTGGAGAGAAAGTTTTCTCTAGATGATCGGCGAAGATCTCTGCTCTGTCTTCTGCTCGATATCTGAGGTTACCGTCCTCGTGAAGCAGAGGTCTTATGGGTTCTTTGTTTCTTGTTAAGTTACGACAGATCCGGTGAATTAGGCTGGGGTTTCCTATGGCTGCGTTGATTTTGTTGTCCCAGCTAGTTGCCGCGGTGTCTCTGAGTTCTGCCCGGATGGTTTCTATTAGGTGGTTGAGTTTTGTTTTGAGAGCCGGGTCTCTTGTTTGCTGCCAGTTCCTCCGGGTTTCGCGCTTTTCGTGTATGAGAGCTAAAATGCGGCGAGAGGTGGTTGGCATGCGTCTGGTGTTTGGAGTACTGGTGGTGGCGGCGGATATGGCGTCGCTGATGGCTTTTGTGAGGCTATTTGTGAAGGCGTCGATGTCTTCTGGTTCTGTCAGGGGACTGATTCTGGTAGGCGTGGTGTTTGCGAGTTTCTCGCTGAAAATTTCCCAGTCTATGCGGTGGCGAGGGGGTGGTGGGATTGATCTTGCCACCCAGCCTGAGATGGTAGCGAGGACGGGCATGTGATCTGATCCGAAAGCATCTTGTAATGTCTCCAGCGAGATCTGGGGTATTCCGCGGTGGACTGCGAGGTCGATGATGTCAGGCGCTTGGTTGTGCTGCCATGGGTAGTGTGTGGGGGCTTCTGGTGCGGAGACGTTATACCCGTGGACTTCGGAGACTGTGAGCAGAGTATGGCCTGCCCCATTCGTGGAGCGGGAATGCCAAGCTGTGTTCTTCGCGTTCCAGTCTCCTGCTGCTAGTGAGGGCCCGGGTGGGTCAAACAGCGAACGCACTTCTGTAGGTGATAGGTTTGATTTGGGAGGCTTGTAGATGGCGTATATTCTTGTGTGGTTGCCGGCGAGGGAGACTTCTATTCCTGTCGCTTGAAAGCTTGTTGTGGCTGGAGTAGGTAGTGGCTGGTGGATCAGGCTTCTTCTAGCGAGCACAGCCAGTCCGCGTCGTCTGTTGTCTTGATCCAGACGGTAGATGTAGTAACCGGGGAAGTTTATCTGGTCTGCTGAGATCAGATGAGTTTCGTTGATCAGTGCGATGTCAATGTTTTGATCTCGCAGGAGCCAACGAAGATGCGTCGCTTTGGTTTTTAGGCCGCATGCGTTCCAAAAGATTATTCTGAGATTATCCATGTCTGAATAGTGTGATTATTCCTTGCAGGACCACTTCTGTGGGGTCCTGGCCGTTTCTTATGGTGGCGAGTACGTTCTTTAAGATTTCGATGGCTGCGTCTACGGTTTTCCAATCTTTGTTTGAGTGGTTTGGAACGCCTCGTGTGGAGGCTGTTGTGTCTTGACGGGAGGCTGTGACGGTGTTGAAGTTGAAGGAGGCCGTACTGGTAGCATTGCTTTTTGCTGTTGCGAAATTATAACTTGGTGGCTTGACCTTTGCTAGAGGTGATGGTGCAGGTGTCTGAGCTTGCGTTGTGAATGCAGAGAACACAGGTGTAGCGGCCTGAGTTATGGGGGTGCTTGTTTCACCGTGATTGCTTGTGACGCCGTGGTTAGGTGTGGCGTCTTGCGGAGCCGCGACAGCTTGAAAAGAGAACACTGCGTTTTCAGTGGTAGCTTTCTGAGTGGTTGTATTCTTCTTTTTCTTCTTTTTGCCTCGCAGCTTGCGTCGGGGGCTTAGATGGGGGTTGTTTGCGGCTGCCATCAATGTGGAGCCGTCACTCTCGAGTAAGACCGGAGCCGTAGGAGTGGCTGCCGGTTTTGTTTTCGGTGTGATTGTGGCTGTTATTGCCACGGCACCGGCTTTCTTGTTTCTGATTTCTTTCTTAAACTGTGAACATTTTGCGTAGTTTGCGGGGTGATCGCCGCCGCAGTTTATGCATGTTGGTGGGGCTTCTAAGGGCCGGGGGCATTCCCGGGCGCTGTGTTCTTCTCCGCAGCGTACACAGGCTAGGCGACGATGGCAGCCGTGGCTTGAATGCCTGAAACCCTGGCATCTGTGACACTGTGCGGGGCCTTTCTTAGCTCGCCATGCCTCAATTGTTATTCCTGGCATGAATAGTAGTTCTTTTGTGTTGTATATTCCCGGTAGAAGGTCGGGAGTGTTTGCGAGTATCGCGAGGAAGATGCATCCTGGTCGGCCTTGCCGGGCTTTAATAGGCTTGATGAACTCAGGTTTATAGCCGAGCTCTTCTAAGGCGTATTCTATGTCCGTTGGGTCGGTGTCCATCGGCAGGCCTCTGATGGCTACTTTAATGCTTCTCTCAGATGGTAGCGAATATGAAAACCATGATATGTTTTCATGTTTTTCGAGGTCCGTTAGGTATCTTTGGATCGTTCTGTATTCTTGATCTGTCTCTGGTGTGAATTTCACGCCTCTGCCGAATGGGCGGGCGTTTGGTGAGTGCCCGAGCTTGTCTCTCAGGGCACGGAAGTGCTTTGCCCAGTTTGGTAGCGTTTCTGCTATCAGTGGTGGGTATTTTGATCTCGTGGATGTGGCGGGGGCGGCAGGGGCTGTTGTAGTGGCGGCGGGCGTGGTGGCTGGGGCGTTTGTAGCAGCGGTTTGAGCTCGGAGCGCTCCGGCGAAGGTTTCATGGCTTCGTAATCTCGGGTCGCGAGATGTTGCGTTTATGCTTCCTGACGGGCAGTGTCTTTTTGGTTGATCCGATACATTTTCATTGGAAATGAGTTCGGAGGGGCGGTGACGTCTGATTGAGATGGAGTCTGTATCCATGCTTTCCGGTGCGTGCGGCGCGAGACTGGAGGTTGTGTTCGCGACGACTGTTTGAGGCGTTGTGGCGGTTACGCTCGGTGACGGCGGGGTACCTGAGTACGCTGCCGGGTGGTGAGTCATTGTTTGCGCACCTGTGTGCACCGTAGAGCGATGACTCATTTGAAGCACACCTGCGTGCGCTGTTGAATGGTGACTCATTAGGGGCTGCTTTTCGGGTTTTTCCGATGGTTGTAGTAATTGTGATTGCAACATGCTTGCGGGTGTTGCTAAGTGATGTGGCGTCGACGATATTGCGATTGTTGCTTGGCGTGTTGAGGGCGCGTTTGTTAGCGCTGGCGAAGTTAGGTGTCTTGTAGCCTGTTCCGCGGGGGCATCGCTTTGTCCTGCGATCATAGGCGTTCGTTGGCTTCGTGTGACTTGGCGGGCTGGAGATGTTGTTCTGTCGCCGGATCGGGAGGACACCGAGGTGCCAGCCGGTTCGTTCACAGCATTTCCTCGATGACGTGATCTTGAACGAGTTCTGTCTTGGCCCTGAGAAGGGCCGTTTGTGCCACCCATAAGATTTTATGGGTGGCAGGCAGCTGATGGAAAACTGCCTACACCGTGACCATCGGTTGTTTACAATCGAGATTGTTTAAACCGGGCGGCTAATACTTGGAGGTCCGTACAGTGCTTAGAGGTGTTATCTCTTAGGCGGTTGTAGCTCTCCAAGAAGATCGAAGCGCATTCACGACCCATTTTGCTGACGAGTTGCGATAAATGACAATTCGATTCGATTCTGCTAAAATGGACGCACCAGGAATAAATTCAACTCGAGTCGACTCGCCTCGATTCGACGCGTTTTTGCTGTAGGCGACGCCAGGCTTAAAAACGTATTAGCTTTACTAGTACTAATTTAATTTTGGATACTACTTAGTAATACTAAAATTAAGTACGATATACTCTATGGGATTCATAGAAAAAAAAAAAAAAAAAAAAAAAAAAAAAAAAAAAAAAAAAAAAAAAAAAAAAGCGTCAAATTGATTTAAAAATTATAGGTGTTAAATGCAAATGTTAAAAATACAGTATAAAAATAATTATAAAATTTATAATATGCATTTGATGGTGACCATAAAAATATAAAGTTTAAAGCCTGTATCTTTACGATCATTGTGTTATTATAAATTAAAACGATAACAATTTTGACAGTTGTCATTGAAATACGTCTCTTGTCAAGTTAAAATGACATTGACATTTTGATAGTTTGTTTTTGAACAGTGTTTGGGCTGTATTTCTATTTTCTTGTTTTACAGTATTTCACCCTGGATATCATCAGATTGCAGTCGTGTTCACTATTGCTTACCTATATTTACTTAATAATTATTTTACGCACAGTATATTTTTAGCTACATATAAATATAACACTTAAAACTACATCGTATCCAGCTACCGGTGCGAGCCCATTATTCTTCTCTTTACAAGGTATGTATATATTAATTACTTTCTTTATTGTCTAGATTTTAAAATATTACTTTTAACTATGGTTTATTCAAGATAAAATTCCTATTCTATCGAGTTCTATTTAAATCATTAACATTGAAACATATACTGAGGAAAAATTAATCGTTTATAAATAATATAATTGATATTTTGGACTTTTATTATTTTTTTGATATGATGATTGCGCTCTTCTATACTACGGAAAATTTGAGTATATTTATTTGTTATAAGTAACAAATAAATATACTGCCTTGACTTGCCCAATGTTCATTTACTGTTAAATACTCTCATATTTCATGTTCATTAAAGTAAATTCTATTAAAAATATATCACACTTTTAAAGATTTTGAAAAATAGCTTAACTTTTGAATAAGGGGTGATTTTTTGTTATTGTTAAATAAATAGTAAATTTGCTATTCATCTACATTGTGTTTGTTACATCTATACAGTGTTCCTATAAAATTATTGTATTATTGGTTACATTGCATATAAGTAGTGGCTTCCGTTTGTAATGTCAATAGATTATTCAATTTGCACCGTGCTGCACCCAACGGCTACAGTCCTTTTCTCCTTGAACTTAGATTCTTGAAATTGAATTTTACACTCGGACAATGTTTGTGCTTGAAAATTCTTTTTTTACCATAAAGAACCACCAAAATAAACATAATAACTTTATAACCAGTAATGTCTGAGACGTTATGAATATATTTGAAGAAGGTTTTTTATAAAAGCCCACTATGTAAGAAGCAAACTAAAAAGATGAGAACAAATTGAATAAGAAACATAGTATTATGCATGCAGTTAGAGATACACGTTTTATCCTCACTGCACGTCTTGCTACATGTATTCATGTCTCTGACTGCATAATGCTACGGTCATTTGTCAACTTTTTTCATCTTTTTAGTTCGCTTTAAATGCAATCAGATTTTTTTATTTTTGTAAGTTTATTTATTATTTACAGCTTTTTTTGGTCAGTTACACATTTTTAGTAGTATTGAGTAATAAATATTGTTGTATGTATTTGCTTCTTACATAAAATTGTATTTTGATAATATTGATTTGGATGAAAAAAATATTTCAAAATACACACATTATTGTTAAAGTTCCGCCATTTTGAATTTTAATTATATATTCGATTTATAATAGTTGGTTTCGTTTTTGTAAATTATTTATGTATTTAATTTTATAACTATTTAGTATTGGTCAGTTAGGCAATTTTAGTTGTATTTAACAATTTCTTGTCCTAATTAAGTTTTAAACCTCTTAAAAACCTGTATTTTGCTACCCCACTTAAACGATTCGGGCGTTTTTTTTTTCAAGACAACAAATTCGTGCCATAGATTTGCCTTTTTTAACTAATAATGATATCTATATACCTTTTGACACTCGCGTTATCAAGACACATACAATCTAACAAGGTATGAATCTTCAAAATCGGTTAAACCGTTTAGTAATTACGAGTGAACATAGGGTCGGACATACATATGTACATACAGGCCAGAAACATAACCCTCCTTTGGGCTTCGCAACAAAAAACAATACAAAAGATCATTTGATACTAAGTGAAATATGAATTTCAACTACCTACGAAAGGAGAAAGTAGAACTTGCGCAAATTCTTAAATTTATTCTACTTGAAATTTCAATTCAATAAAGTTTCACAATGGCAAAGAAGTTTTTAGAATCCCTTCAGTTTGTTACGTAAATTAATACTGCCACCTGCAAGCTTTCTATAGGTACTTGATAATTTTCATATTCTTTTTATAGCATATTTGTCGTAGAACAATTTGCTTATGTTGTATTTGCATGAAATTGCATAATCTTTTGCTAGTTAGACATTTAAATATTATAATTTATAATGTTTTATATGTAGTAAAGTCTAATAGAAAAAGGCAGTGGTAAACCAGTGGTAACCCGCTCGCTTGGGACACCGAGTGAAGCGGGTTCAAATCTCGGGTCTCGCACCCTGATATTTTCATGTGCTAATCATTTCTGACATTATCACTTGCCTTACGATGTAGGAAAAAATCGTGAAGTCCGCCAATCAGCACTTGCCTGATCCCCCTCGTATTGAAGGGTGGCCTGTGCCCAGCAATGGGACGTTAAAATGGGCTGAATAGATGATAGAATATAGATAAAAATAGCTTAGTTATTGTGAGAGTAAAATTTTCTAGTGCATTGTTTTTGATGTATCTCTAAATTTAATTAGCCAGCGTAAGCCATGGAATCGTACGAAAAAAAATGCATTTTCCCATGAAAATGAGAGATTTTACCGGACTAAATTGTTGTTAATTTTTAATCCTGCTACTTATATATTTTTTGTGTAATAAATCATTGAAATTTTTGTATGAAGGACAACTCGGCTCAACCAGTTATTGTTTTTCCCGTGGGAATGAAAGGTTTTCTAGTACTAAATGCCATCAATGGTATCCAAAATGTTGACTCGAGTGCCTAAAAAGTTGTCACTACACAAAATTTATTTAAAATTCGTTCAGTTCTTTTTTAACACAGACAAAGAGACAAAAAATTCAATAATAATTGTTTTGGGGTCTATATTCCGTCCATACACAATACGTAACAGTCACAGTTTTAAATAAGATTTCATATCATTGACTTTATTACTACTTTATTGTACACTAATAAGCAGCTCGCCGTATCATAGGTGATCAAACACTAACGCAGACGAAAATGCTTAAGTCTCCAGCATCGACGCATTGTCGCCTGTCTTTCGATCTTCTATCGGATATACTTTAGGGAGTGCGCGCAGGAACTTCACAACCTTGTGCCCCCTTCACCGTTTTACCACAGAACTGCGAGAAATCGTGAGCACTGGCATCCTTATGTGGTAGAAATCCAACCAACTCGCACGAAACGCTTCAGTTCTACGTTTCTGAATCGAACTGCTAAGGAGTGGAACACCCTTCCAGCATCTGTGTTTCCTGCCACCTGCAATCCAAGTACCTTCAAGGCTAGAGTGAACAGGCATTTTTCTAGGCAAGCGCGCTTCAACCTAGACCTCATCAGTGCTTTCCAGCGCTGATTGTAGTCAAGCGCAAGCCTATCTTACAATAAAAAAAAAACACTAGTGACTTACTCTCGCTTCGCTCGGGTTCGTCCGTAGGTTGGTAGGTTTTCTTTTTTTTTGCGATAGCCTAATTCTTCTTCTAAAATAAAAGTACCCTAGGTTACTCCATATAGCATCAGCAATCTGCTAGTGAAAGCTCTCTTAAAATGAATTCTTATACTCTTATAGTCCAATCAAATAAGCTCTGAAATCGACATTTTTCTAAACAGGCTGAATTTTTGTTCTAAGCTAACTTGAGCCATTCTAAACATATCTATAAGAAAAATATTGTTGTCAACAACCGGCTAGAGTCCGAAAACTGTCTTTTTTTTTGATTCAATATAGTTTTAAGCATCCTGCAATCACTTTAAAGTATAAATTGAGTGTCAACTTCCGGCAATGGTCCGAATAACAGGATTTCATATTTATATTCCAAACGGTAAAAGATAGAGAAAAATATTTCATTGGACTTTTATTTGTTTGGATTATAATTATCCATCTATATAGGTATTATTAATAAAGTATACTAGAAGAATTTCATTTGCCACACAACCAGTTCCAGTTATATTGTCTATATAAGTGTATTTTTTGAAAAAATGCAATTGTTATACCTTTTCCGAAAAAACGCGGAGCAAGATCGGTCGCCCAGGTACTGTAGAGTTTATACGAGCGGCGTAGATTGATATCTAATGCACAGTGTAGTGCGGGTTTGATTCGCGGAAAGTGAAAGAAGGAAAATTTTCTGTAAGAAATATGTGTAAAAGCTTGGGCACCACTACAGTATTTGTTTTCCTTACTACACACCTCGATATTCAATAAGCATAGGTATTTCCTAGTTCGAATCACTTAAGTTACGTAATTTTTTTATCAGTTAACGCTGTTTGTTTAATTTAATTTATATACCTACGAGTTACGCTATGTAGTATATAAACAATTCGTAGCAAATATAACCTACCGAGGCAAATACACAATGAACCCTTTGTTGGGCTGTACTTGCTTAAAATAAGGCTTCCTTTCCCTTTGAAAATAACTTTCAATGGCTCAGCACTAAAATGGGCGCTTATTGTGTGTTATAAGAAACTCAAACATTTCTAGTACCTACTAAGCTAAAATTTTCCATAACTTTTTTGCTGTTTGAAAATATTTTGATAATAATACTAAATATTGCTCTACGGGTCAAATACTCATTTTTTTCGTTATGTTCATTAACATATTCCATTCAAAGATAAGTATGTGCTAAATTGAACAAAGAAAAAAAGAAGTTGTATATGTAATGTAGTTTGAATATCTCAGCGACATAATGAGAAACCGAAAATACGACCTACTACAACTTATCATACAGGACAAGACGACAGACGACGACACGTTTGGCTCAGTTTGTAGTGACCCCTACTTGTTGTGCCAGCGGTCGCGGGTTCGAGTATCGCTGGAGGCATTCATTTGTGTGATGAGCACGAATGTTTGTACTCCAGTCATTAGTGTTTATATTTATAATATGTATGTATTTAAAGTTATATATATGTAGTGTATCAACTATCTGGTATCCATAACACAAGCCTCGTAGCTTACCATGGAACTAAATGCTGCTGTGTATTAATGTCCCTACATATTTATAAAAAAAAATAGATCCCAGGAAAGCGAAGTGTTAAAGAACCTACGCTAATGTTTTGGAAAAAACACACTTTTATTACTCAGAGCCGCGGCATCGAAGATACAAGTTGCCTTAATGATCGCCGACCTTCGAAAGAAGATGGCACTTTAGAAAGAAGAAGATTCAAAGATAAACAGATACATATTTGCAAACCCCTTTTTTAACTTCTATGTACTTTAAGCTTAATTAAATAAGTACTTATATAATTCACTAAAATGTGGACAATTAGCGAAGGTGTTGCAAACATAGAAAATAAGCCAAATTGAAACTAATTTACGTAGTAAGTTTGATTTGTTAACGACTTTGATTATAACTAGGTACTTGCAAATATTTTACTTTCCCGTCAATACGAGGGGGATCAGGCCTTAGTCCACCACGCTGGCCAAGTGCGGGTTGGCGGACTTCACATATCTTTCGAAAACTTGCTAGATTCTCTCACACATGCAGGTTTTCTCACGATGTTTTCCTTCACCGCAAGGCAAGCGGTAATCATGTTAGAAATGATTCGCACATGAAAATATCAGAGGTCCAAGACCCGGGATTTGAACCCGCTTCACTCGGTTTCTCAAGCGAGAGCGTTACTACTGGGCTACCACTGCCTCCAGTGTTTGCAAGTGGTTTTTAAAATAACAATCCACAGTTAGTTTTAATATGCAATGTCTCTAACACCTGTTGCATTTAAAACTCGTGTATATTACCAGGATATGTATATATATATATATATATATATATATATATATATATATATATACACTAATAATATGCAATATCGCTGTAGGCTAGATATTGTGATGAATGTCTTTGACGGGTGCCTGAAACTGAACATAATTGGATACTGCCTGTTAGTATCGATCTGACCTAGATTGTTGAGCAATTTGTTTGAAGCTTGTTAGTCTACTTGTTTGAATTAGGTGTTAGTTTGTGAAGTCAATTATAACTTCTAATGATGGTGTTTTTCTTGAAGAAACATTGAAACTTTATTTAGTAACTCAGAAAGTATTTTGCGCAATCAATAAAACTAAAAAAGTTTATTACTATTACGAGTATATTCATAAATCTATACATATAATAAAATTGTAACTAAGCTGAATCTGTACATTAATTTTTTTTTGGAAAATCTTATTGAAATAGACATTATTATCGATACAGAGGCCGAATCTATAGTTTTTCGATTTTTTGTCTGTCTATCTGTCTGTCTGTTACCGCATCACGGAAAAACCACTGGAGAGATTTTGATGAAATTTGGTATGATGATAGCTCATTTCTGAGAAAAAAATACAAAAACAGCAGTGTAAGAGTACACTAATATGTAAAACCTAAGAATTTGGTTTTTGGTAATCTAAACGCGGGCGGAGCCGCGGGCAATGCTAGTAGTATATAAATGTACCTATACCGACCGGATCGATTTTGATGAAATTGTGTGCGTATGTTTGTGTGGGTTCCTGGATGGCTTAGATTTACAACCGGATCCCGTAGGTGGCGCTACAGTCGGATTCTAGGGATTTTTTGAAGACCATATTAGAGCAAGGTCTGTCGGGTTAGTTTGCTATAAATTATTGGGATCTATTTTTTGGGGGGTAACTAGGTAGTAAAAAACAATTACTTAAATATACTTATTTAAGCTAATAATATAAGAAGTATATTTAAAGATTGCACTTACATAGTATTACTATAATAGTATTTATAATCTTAATTATATATTTTTTATTTTTAAATAACTTAGAAAAAGCCAATATGCTTGGCGGCAGCGTGCTGTGGTTTCGACATGGCTTACGTCTCCACGACAACCCGTCTTTGCAAAGTGCTCTGGAAGAAAGAAGCTTACCATTCTTCCCTGTCTTCATATTTGATGGCGAAACAGCTGGTAAGTAAAGATTTTGATTTGAAATTTTGAAATCAAATGCGGATAAATATATCGAATGGGTCTTTGACCATGACTCTTCACGGGTTTTTCTTCGTCAGAATCCACTACTCTTGTATACCTGTGATTTTTTTTCTGAAATTTATTTCAGTTTCAAAATGTAAATCCTATGCCCAGTTCCGCACATAACTCGGTACAAACAGACATACCAAAAGTTATCTAACGGTTATTTAGTGTTACATATTTATATAATGGGCTTTGCTATCATGCAAATAGGCATATGTACTCAATGCGACTACGCACAGTTAGATCTAGTTTTATGAAATTATAGAGAGACTTCAAAAGAATAACATTTTGAACATTTTCATTATATACATTCTTTTTAAATTCTTGGCAAAGAATTTGTCTACGACGCGACGCGACGGTCTGATTTAGTGGAGACATGTCTTATCGTAACAGACACAAAATGGCAGCCCCCTAGAACACGAGTTCACTACTAGTGAGTTACTTGAACATGCTTAGAAGAATACAATTGAAAGATAGAAAAGTTGAGGTTACTCTATAAGACCATTAGACTTTCATTATCCGATTCCACTCACGCGCCAATATAATCATACATTAACTAATCACGTACAATCTACTATACTTGTGAGATATGTTACAAACAGACATACATTTTTAAATACTTAAATATAATAAGTTAATAATATAATTAGATAAAATTTTGCCTCACCTATTTGAAACATGTATTACGATTGCAAAACTACCTACTACTAAAACGACCCTACAGTATAAATATGGATATGGTACTTATGCAGACTAAATAATTATATAGACAGAGTCCACCAAAATAAATGGCAGAGTCAATTATTTTTAGTTATAAATTATTATAAAAATTTTATTCTTACGTATATTTAAATAGGTACCAAGGTAGTGGGATATAACCGCATGCGTTATCTTCTGGAAGCTTTGAACGATCTGGATGCGCAGTTCAAGAAGTATGGCGGAAAATTGTTTATGATCAAAGGAAAACCTGATGTGGTCTTCAAGCGTCTTTGGGAAGAATTTGGTCAGTATGTATTAATGTGTGAAATAAAAATCTTACTAATTTCGATGCAACTAGCCTGACATAATTAATTTATTATTATACTAGCGACTCACCCTCGCTTCGCTCGGGATTTTCCCTAGCTTGATTCCCCATACAAGCCTTCCTTCCAATTTTCACCCCCTTAAGGCATGATTTCCAGGATAAAAAGTATCCTATGTCCTTCCCGGGGTCTCAAACTATCTTCTTCCCTTTCATCTAAATCGGTTCAGTAGATTCAGAGATTACCCTCTACAACGTCACAAACTCACTATCTCACAAACTTTATCTCTTTATAATATTAGTATAGAAGTAATTTGTTATACTTATTGTTTTCGTGTAATTTTAATTAATTATATATTTTTGTTAACTCCTTGGAGATGATTAAAATGATTATTTCCTTATGTTATTTGCCTTGAGTTAAGTATATATAGCTCTTATTATATTCCTAGAGCCTAAGTCCGTCAGTCTACAAACAGTCTTAAGGTTAAAATGTTAGGAACAAACACAGTTTTCATCACACGCATTCACGCATTCGTATAATTTACAGTACATGCATGTATATTTTTGCACTATTTACGTCATACAACATATTTCGACCGTCATTTTAGGTAAAAATCAATTTTGTATCTATACTAATATTATAAAGAGGCAGAGTTTGTTTGTTTGTTTATTTGTTTGTTTGTTTGAACGCGCTAATCTCAGGAACTACACGTAACCGTTAAAACGCACCCAGGGATGTACCCGAGCGAAGCGACTAGCGAGGTTGTGTCGCAGGTCGCTAGTTTATCATAAAAGTATGACCTTATTTCACTGATACTATTTGAAAACAATAAAAAATATATATAATTGAATAAAAATGAAAATTATCCCTTTAAAAGGAAACATAAATATTCGCCTGGAAAGATTTGGTTCTTTACTACAAATACTATAAGCTGGAGTAACAAATAGGCTACTGTTAGTAATAACATTTGCCGAAAGGTGGCGCTACCTGTAAATAATACGATAATTCAAAAAGCGTTTAGTTAAATATAAATAATATAATATTATGCTTGGACATTAACACACAGCGCCATTTAGTTCCATGGTAAGCTACGAGACGTGTGCTATGGATACCAGGTAGTTGATACACTACACATATATAACTTTAAATACATACATATTATAAATACATTTCATAACATTCAAATAAATCAACCATAGGTATCCGTAAGCTCTGCTTCGAGCAAGATTGCGAGCCAATATGGCGTCAACGTGACGAGGGCGTACGCACCATGTGCCGCGAGATAGGCGTCTCGTGTTTGGAACACGTGTCCCACACTTTATGGGACCCCGACACCGTCATACGGACTAATGGGGGTATCCCCCCATTGACGTATCAAATGTTTTTGGTAAGTTATTATATTTATTTTTAATTGTTGTTGCTATATTATATTTAGTACGAAATGTTGCATAAAGAAATTAAACTTCTTTTTTCAACATTTCGAGTCCATTCTTATAACAAATTTGTATCTCGGTCTTTTTTTTTTGCATTTTTAGTAAAACGTATTGGACTGTCACCATTAGCTTTATTTAAGAAATATGGTTAAAAAATAGTTATTTCAAAATATCTAAGACAGTATTTACTTAAAATTAAGATAGAATAGCGGTCATAATTTTACATATCATATCCTAGATCTCTTACTCTAATAGGAATTTATCCATTTCGATTAATACTTATCAAAAATAAACTAATGTGTTTGTAAAGATCTAAACAAAATCGGTCAAGTGGGAGTCGAATTCGCACACAAAGGGTTCAATACCATCGCACATGTACTTTTTATTAATATGACTTTTACTTTTAAGTATTTAGTACATATAGAACTTCGGTGATCGATTATGAACGTTAAAAAAATGTTTTATGTATTTTTATTTTTTTATTAATTGTTATTATAGCGGCAATAGAAATATATATTCTGTGAAAATTTCAACTCTCTATCTGTTAAAGTTTATGAGATACAGCCCTCTGACAGACGGACGGACGGACAGCGGAGGCTTAGTAATAGTTCTGTTGGCACTTTTCGGATGCGGAACCCTAAAAAGATTTTTGTGCAATACCTACTCGTTTGTTTCAGAACATTTAGGTAACAGTAAGACAAGTGTGTTCCATTTTCGATCGCTTATTATAAGTGATCGAAGTGTTTCACGTTAAAATAATAAATACATGAGATTTAATACGTAGGTAATTAATTACAGAGCGAGCTTTTCATAGCCTTCATTCTCAATAGTAAGATTAATTAATTACTTACATGGTTTGGTAATTACAATCTATATTTAGAAGCTTGTATAAATACTCCATACAAAAAAAAACATGGGCGGAGCTGCGAGAGAACGTATGTTAACACGTTAATAAATAAGTTTTTTATATTCTCCATTATATTCCTCATAAAAACTTTTAACCCCATTTTCCCCCCCTGAAGGGGTGATTTTTGGGATAAAAACTTCTGTGCTTCTCAAGTTCTCATACTATCTTCTTACCAAATTTTATCTAAATCGGTTCAGTAGTCCCAGTGATTACTTCCTACAAACAAACTCACAAACTTACAAACTTTACCTCTTTATAATATTAAAGTATGATATATTTAAAAAAATATACAAAAAATAATTAATAATGTTAATAATTCATTTTCAGCATACTGTAGCCATCATCGGGGACCCTCCCCGCCCAGTGGACGACGTTGACTTGAAAGGCGTCAATTTCGGATCTCTCTCCGAAAGTTTCTATAAAGAATTTACCATCTTTGATCAGGTATTTATGTAATGAAATATATATGTTCAATTCAATTTTCTTGTTAATGTCTTCAAAGCGTGCCAGTTCAGCACAGATTACTTCGCCAATGTCATGTAGAATGGAGAAGACACGAAGGAGATTTGTCGGTAAAGTAAGATTTATATATATATATATATATATATATATATATATATATATATATATATATATATATATATACTCAGACTCAAACTAACTAAAAAAATATATAGACTGAGTCCGCCAAAAAATGTCTAAGTAAAAAATAGTAGCACGATTTGCTGTTTATGCTACTTTTTTAGATTTTACTATAAAGATCGTTTACGTTTTTAGTCGTTAATTTTTGAGAAAAATATATAAATAAAAATGAACAAAAAAATATTATACATGTATGTACTTATATCTTTTGTTGGCTTAAAAGCAGCAGTTCCCTTCTCCTTAAAAAAGAGATACCATAATAGTAGCTTATTAAATTTTTTTCTTTATTATTATTATAAATTAGATATTTTATTAGCGTTTATACTATTAATATTTCTGTACTACGAGTATTTTAAAACCAAAATTATAGTTTGGCTTTATGTATGTTCTATGACACTATGTTGTTTAAATTAATCTCCTTAAATCTTAGTTGAAAAAAAAATTAAGGTGTCTTATTAGGATTTTCCAATTAACTACATACTTTATAATGAGCATAATATGATACTAAAACAATAAGATGTTTGTCTGTTTGTTTGTATCCACTAATCTTAAGAACGGCTTCACCTACTTTAACAGATTTTTTACTGTAAGATAAATAAAAATAAATAAATATAAATATGTTGGTACATTATAACATACATCACCATCTAGTTCCATGGTAGTACAAGTACAAGGCTTGTATTATGGATACTAGATAGTTAATACACTACACATATATTACTTTAAATACATACATATTATAAATATACACATCAATGACTGGAATACAAATATCCGTGCCCATTCGACAAATTAATGCCCGCAGCGGGACACGAACCCGCGTCCGCAAAACACAACAAGTAGGATCACTACAAACTGAGCCAAACGTGTAGTCAAATAGATCGATTAAAGAGATAGATTAAACAAAATATTTGTCTTTCTTTACCAGGCTCCGAAGCCCGAGGACTTGGGGGTGTTCTTGGAGAACGAAGACATCCGCATGATCCGCTGGGTGGGCGGCGAGACGGCCGCCTTGCACCAGATGCAGCAGCGGCTCGCTGTGGAGTATGAGACCTTCTGCAGGTAATAATAAACTTTATTCAAAGGGCCATAAGGTATAAAATGCTAGTGTATTATTTTATTATTAAAGTCATTTCTTTTTATTTGCCATTGACGGAGATATCGATACGAAAAAAAATTGTGGGGTACATTTGAGTAAGTTTTTTTTGTCAGGATTTATCAAGATCATCTCATTTATATATTATACATTATATATAATTTTTCTTATGTTTTCCAGGGGATCTTATTTGCCAACTCATGGTAACCCGGACTTATTGGGACCCCCTATTTCTTTGAGTCCGGCTCTTCGCTTCGGATGTCTTTCTGTGCGCCGGTAACTTACAAAATAATATAAATAATATATGTATATTAAATTATTTTTATTGTTCAGCCCCTTTAACGTCCCACTGCTGGGCAAGGGTATCACATCAGTACGAGGGCGATCAGGCCATAGTCCACCACGCTGGCCAAGTGCGGGTTGGCAGACTTCACATGTCTTTCGAAAACTTGCTAGGTTCTCTCAGACACGCAGGTTTCCTCACGATGTCTTCCTTCACCGTAAGGCAAGTGGTAATCATGTTGGAAATGATTCGGCCATAAGATTATCAGATGTACTGAGACCCAGGATTTAAAAACGCTTCACTTTGTTTCCGAAGAGATAATCTAACATTATATATATTACCTACTAATAAAATATTGGATTGGATATATATATATATATATATATATATATATATATATAAATTTTGTAAATAATGTTATATAATTTTTTAATTTTTTAATTATGATTTTCAGATTCTATTGGTGCGTCCAGGATTTGTTCCATCAAGTGAATCAAGGACAACTCGCCTCAACTCAATTCATTACGGGTTCGTGTAAAACATATTATAGAAGTCGGTCGGTATCGTGGGACATCCGGTAGGAACGAAGTTTCTTTCGCTGTCTGCTCTTCCCTCATACATCTATACAGATAAATAAAATTGATGTGCCTGTTTGTAACGTCAAAATAACAGCTTTTTACTAAATGCATATAGAATAACATACGGTATTTATGAGAAAAAACCCACAATTTTTTAAATTTTTGTCTGTCTGTCTGTTCCGGCTAATCTCCGAAACGGATGGGCCGATTTTGATGGGACCTTCACTGTGCACACGAATTTATTACAACATACTCCTTAACACTTATGATCGCCTGGTAATTGTGACGTTAGTTATATTATGGACTGCCATGAGCCTCTGGTGACAATAATAATGGAGAATATGTGTGATTTTATTTAATTTTTTTACACAGTAGTTAACATGGTTATTCATCTGTATAAATATAATAAATGTGAAAGTTTGTGAGTATGGATGTTTGTTACTCTTTCACGCGAAAACGGCACAACGGATCTGGATGAAATTTGGCACAGACATTGATTATAGTCTAGAATAACACATAGGCTACTTTTTGTCCCGAAAAAATGTACGGTTCCTGAGGGATAGGTTTGTTTGTGTTTTCCTATACGCGAACCCGCGAAGCGAGGGTGAGCCGCTATTTGTAAATAAATATTTAGCTCCAAAAAAAAATTATTATAATTTAAAAAAAATATATCATACCGATACCGACGTCACAGTATGATATACACAAAAAATGATGACTCCATTTGTAGCGACAAAAACGCTAATCTGTCTTTTATGATAATACTTTGTCATCATATTCGGTCTGACCAATGTCGTGAGTTTCAACTACTTGGAATTTCCCATATACATTTGCACTTTGTAATAATTATTTTCTTAATCAAAAAGAAATTACATTAAAAAATACTATATAGTGTGTGTATTCCATACTAACCGTCATAAGATATCTAGTAGGGGTGTGCGAATATCGTTCGAATCGAATCGAATCGAATATCAATATTGGATTCGAAATTCGAATCGAATAATTCGAATTTCGAATAATTCGAAAAATTTCGAATAATTCGAACATATATTGCAAATTTTAAAAATGAGCAATTGTTTTCTCTGGGTAATTGATTTTTAAACGAATAGTATATTATTCGTAAGTAGACTATTTTGACACACGATTTGAAGGAATTAAAATGGATACAATTAAAGATCCAGAGATATTTCATTAATTCGCGAATTATTCGAAAACTTTCGAATTATTCGAATTTTTTACGAATTATTCGAAATTTTTCGAATTATTCGAAATTTTTCGAATTATTCGAAATTTTTCGAATTATTCGAAATTTCGATATTCGCACACCCCTACTAGATATCTTATGACGGTTAGTATGGAATACACACACTATATTGTATTTTTTAATGTAATTTCTTTTTGATTAAGAAAATAATTATTACAAAGTGCAAATGTATATGGGAAATTCCAAGTAGTTGAAACTCACGACATTGGTCAGACCGAATATGATGACAAAGTATTATCATAAAAGACAGATTAGCGTTTTTGTCGCTACAAATGGAGTCATCATTTTTTGTGTATATCATACTGTGACGTCGGTATCGGTATGATATATTTTTTTTAAATTATAATAATTTTTTTTTGGAGCTATATATTTATTTACAAATAGCGGCTCGCCCTCGCTTCGCGGGTTCGCGTATAGGAAAACACAAACAAACCTATCCCTCAGGAACCGTACATTTTTTCGGGACAAAAAGTAGCCTATGTGTTATTCTAGACTATAATCAATGTCTGTGCCAAATTTCATCCAGATCCGTTGTGTTGTTTTCGCGTGAAAGAGTAACAAACATCCATACTCACAAACTTTCACATTTATAATATTTATACAGATTAATAACCATGTTAACTACTGTGTAAAAAATTTAAATAAAATCACACATATTCTCCATTATTATTGTCACCAGAGGCTCATGGCAGTCATTTTTCGAATTATTCGATTCGAGTTTCGAATCGAATATTAATATTCGATTCGGAACGATTATTTCGTAAGTTCGAATTATTCGCACACCCCTAATATCTAGGGACGAAACCGAGCGAAGCAAAGGTGAGTCGCTAGAAATATATAAATGTATGTATGACCCAGGCCAGCTGATATGGCGCGAGTACTTCTACACGATGAGCGTGAACAACCCCAGCTACGGGCAGATGAACGGCAACCCCATATGCCTTAGTATCCCATGGAAAGAGCCTGAAGGTGATGAGTTGCAGAGGCAAGTAGAGTTCTTTTGTATTTTAATAAATATAAGCACATTTATAGAACTTCCTATAATCTCCATATAAAACACCATATGAATAAAAAATCCCTGTATATGAGATTTACTGTTGTGTGTTTTCCATACACATTACACTAATCGCTATATTTCGCCATTAACAAATAAACAAAAACATTTTCATATTTATTATATTAGTATGACCAAGTATGCTTATTCGGAAGGAACGAAGCCCATCGCTTCGCTCCTTCTAAATTTATTTATGATTTCTAAATTCTAACGAATGGTGGTAGGACTCTGTCAAGCCTAAGGAGTCCGACTGGATGGGTACCACCCCCTTATCTATTTCTCCCGCCAAGCAACAATGATTACACTGTTGTGTTCCGATCTGAAGGATAAAGTAGCCAGCTCAATTATAGGCAAGAGGCATATCATCTTAGTCTTCACAGTGAAAACGCACCTGCGGTTCTGTATTTTTGTAACATAAAACCTAAGTGTATAAACCGTAGGTGTCATGGGCGACAGGTACCGCTTTCCATCAGGTGGGCTGTCTGCTCGTTTGTAACTGAATACCATAAAAAAAAATATTTATTTGCTGTAACTAGCGTACGTTCTCATTCATTTACTCAAACTTTTAAAAGATATTTAATAACTAGGTACATTTTTTTCATAATGGGTGAAAATACGACTGTTGAATTTACACAGATATTAGTTAATATTTTAACGGCATTGTTGAATGGTATGTGTGTGCGTAGGCGTACGAATGTAGGCGTGTGTGTGCAGTAATACATGTGTGACATACATGTATGTATATAGTAACCTTCATTCTATTATTATTGTGTCAATAAAATATTGTAAATATTGTACATGTGTCATGTATAAAGTGTGTGGGTGCGAGTGTCTGCATTTGAGTCTTCGTATGTGTGTGTATGTCCGTGTGCGTGTGTGTATGCGTAGTACACGCGTGTCGCGTGGCAGATGGCGCGAGGGGCGCACGGGGTTCCCGTTCATCGACGCGGCGATGCGGCAGCTGCGCACGGAGGGCTGGCTGCACCACGCCGCGCGCAACACCGTGGCCTCCTTCCTCACGCGCGGCACGCTCTGGCTGTCCTGGGAGCACGGCCTCGACCACTTCCTCAAGTACCTGCTGGACGCGGACTGGTGAGTGCTCGGTTTGTCCTCCACACACAAAGGTCCAGGTTAAGGAGTGAGAAAATAGGAGTTCTAGTAAAATTGGTTTATCAAAATAACAAGACTGTTGTTTTTTTTTAATTCCTTTTAAATTTTCGGTATTCTATCTATTTTCTATCTATATATTGATATGTAGGTGCCATTTATGACAGAAACTCAAAAAAATGTTTTTGTGGGTTGGATCCATTTCGCATACCTACCTCCATATGTGTGTACACTCACTATACGCAGGTCGGTGTGCGCCGGCAACTGGATGTGGGTGTCGTCGTCCGCGTTCGAGGCGCTGCTGGACTCGGGCGAGTGCGCGTGCCCCGTGCGCCTCGGCCGCCGCCTCGAGCCCTCCGGCCGCTACGTGCGCCGCTACGTGCCCGAGCTCGCCCACATGCCCGATCAGTACATGTCAGTTACGCGCCTCTACAGGAGGATAATCGAACCTCCCAAATCACATATATTTATTATTTTGATTTTCGTATTTTATTTAATTTTTCGTATTCTCAAACACCCATCTAGCCTTCTGTTTTTTAATATTGGGAGAAAACATTTACATATACCACCTGACACCTGTATAGACACAGGTGGTTAATTGAGACTCAATGGCTAGAAAAATCAGTATTACTCACTAAAACTCAACAGAACTTCCCCTGTCTTAATGGGGCGTCGCAGGATCGCTCACTCGCCTCCGACAGCAGGTCTGCTCTCACCAGGATAAAGTGAACGCACATTGAGGGGAAAAGTGAGACACTGCGCTAATCCCAAATAATTTGGGAAATGTGCAGAAAAACTAAACTCTTTCCCACCACGCCCTCAGCTACGAGCCGTGGAACGCCCCCATCGAGGTGCAGGAGCGCGCGGGCTGCGTGGTGGGGCGCGACTACCCCGCGCCGGTGGTGGACCACCGCGCCGCCGCGCACCGCAACCGCGCCGCCATGCAGGTACGCCCGGCCCTTCTGCTGGCCTCGCTGCTCTGTCTCTACTGTCTGTGCGACATGTAACTTGTGTCTAACATAAATGTACTTATTGACCCTTTTGTTCACTTTGCTTTTGTCTCTATAAAGTTATACCAACGATGACAGTTTTGAAAAAAATTATCCTTTGTATAGACTGTTCTTATCTGTGTCTGTGCATGTATACTGCGTGCTACATAACTTGTAGGAAAAGTAAGCTTTATACTGCTTATCCTTTCTGTCGACTTTGCTTATTTGTTTCTGTGTTTTAATTTTATTAAATTATTTTTTATTATATATAACACTAGCGGTTCACCCTCGTTTTGCTGGGGTTGGTCCCTAGGTTGATTCCCCGTACAAACTTTCATCCACATTTTCACCCCACTAAGGGATGATTTCCGGGATAAGAAGTTATATATTTATGTCCTTCCTAGGGTCTCAAACTGGCATCTTACCAAATTTCATCTAAATCGGTTCAGTAGATCCAGAGATCCCCTACAACATCAAAAAGTCACAAACTTTACTTCTTTATAATATTAATATAGATAATAATTTTAATATATTTCATTGTAAACAATTATGAGTTTAGGAGTTACGTCGTGTACTCGAGAAGGCTCCTCCTCACTGCTGTCCCTCATCAGAGGACGAAATCCGCCAGTTCATGTGGCTCGGCGACGAAAACCAACCGGAGATCACTACTGCATAAACTAAAACCGACTTTACCATAACGAAATTAAGTCGAAAATGCATTACATATTATATTTTCTTTTTATTTTTAAAATATTATGAAAGAAATAATTTGGCCATACACCATGTTTATGATGTTGTATATTTACATTTTATTTTATATTTGTGTTATGTTGTATATTTACATTTTATTTTATATATTTGGTTATTTTAATTGTCATCCATATATCATCATGGCTCATCAAAGTTGGCGATATTTTGATTAATCTATATTATTTTAAATTTAAGCTTAAATTGAAATTATTTGGTGTTTGAATGGATATGGAGGATAAATTTTAAGTTTAGATGTTAAGTAAATGTCGTGCTATTCTATGTCCATTTAGGTTAAGTTTTTTCAATCTCATAGCTATATATTTTAAGTTTTTAAAGAAATCGTATGTGATACAACAAAAATACAGGGAAAGATTTTGCTACATTCTAATCCGAATTTATAACAATAAGAATTTTATTAAACAAATATCATGGAATGAATATTTTACTACAATGTAGATGATGTAATTAAAAACATTAAATTAATTATTAAGTAAAAAATTAGAAAGTAAAAATGAAATTAGAAACACATAAGGAATTATATACACAAATACAACTGATTTTTGACATTTATATATGAAATAAATAAATAAGATAGAGAGAGATAAGAGAGGTGTATTGCTATCACTTACATTCAAACATTTTTAATTAAATATATTTCCAACAATCAGAAATTTGGGTAATGTAAAATTTCATTTAAATGATAGAATTTGATTTTTGGACGATATATTATTTTTATTTTAGATGTAAGTAAATGTTACCAATTATATTTTAGAATAAATATAAAAAAAAATATATGTTATTTAAATGTCGAAATAAATGTTTGTGTAATAAATGTTTATTTTATGCATTTTAAGACAAGTAATGGTCATAAGTGTAAACTTGTAATGGTATACGTCACTAAACTGGTACCGGTGATACATTTGTAATTTTATATTATTTGATTTTTTTAACGTTTATTGATTAAAAAAATCTGGAACCATCCGCCTATATTCTCTTTCATCCCAAAAATGCTGCCACCAGTGGTGATGGTATATATGAAAATAGTATAATTTGATTATTAATATAAAAATGGTTTTTATTTTTTTCCCAAAATGTTTTTTCTATCTTTATTTATTTGCGTTTTTGTCTCTGGCAGCTTTAGAAATTAACCTTATGCCTATATTTTTGAGGTGCGGCAAATAGGTATATTCAATATTGTATCAGTCATTATATATTTTTTTATATATTATTACCATTTATAGCCATAGGCTTAATTGTACCAAAGCAAACCAAACTGTATTATTTTTAACGAAATTAAAATTTTAATGTCTATGTGTACCTTAGAAGTTAGGTGAATCTGTGGTAAATATAATAAAAATCTTTAAAAATGTATTATTATTGTTTTATTCCCACTATTTTTACAATATATAAACATCCTTAAAATATATAGTCAGTGGTTATGGAGCAGTGTTGTCACAACTCATAGCCAATTTTAAAACTATTAATATAGTAAGTAGTCCACAGTTTTAAAGGAAAATATGTTCTAAGTTTTTTTAAATCTTCAATACTTTAAAAGAAAGAAATAACTAAGCAAAGCTTCCTATTTACAGATGTTTTTAGAGTTGATGCTTTTGGAAAAAAATTACTCATTGTAATGTAACAAGAGTCTGCACTTGGTTTACATGGAATGTATAATTAAAATTGAATTTGCTTTATTTTTTACAAATTTTTATATTTTTAAATAAAGGATATTAGTTTTTAACCTAAAAAGTATCAACTTTTCTTAGTCATAATTAATCAAAAATAACTGTACAAAGTAATGGACTTAATAAATAATTATAAATATTTACTAAATATTATGATCCATTGCTTGCTGCGAGAGTTAAATTACTAACTAAAGCGTTGAACACTTTACTAGTATTGCTCTCGGGTAATTCTTTGACTGCAGCAACCCCTTTACCAGCTAATGCACCAACTCTAGGATCAATCGGAATAGTCCCTAAAAATGGTATTTTAGATATTTCTGCTAATGATTTTCCACCACCACTTGAAAATATATTAGTACATTCACTGCATGTTGGACATTCATACCTGAAGAAATGAAAGAAAAAAATGAAAAATGTAAACAAGAAAAATAACCTCTATTGAATTTGACTCTTTAGAGTCAAATTTTAAAATTAATTTCAGAATGAATTAATTTATTGATTTCTGAATAATTTAAAAATAAGGCAGTCATGATTCATGACTATGGAATATTAAAGAGGAGAAAGATTGTTTTACATTGTATAGGTACATATATATGGTAACAATATGTGAGAACAATATCTATAAAATATTTTAATTTTAGTTACTTTTATAAAGGGTACTGATACCAGATTATACTATAAATACAGTGTAATCAGAAAGAAATTTAGCTTATATTAATATTTTTCTACAATTTTTTTATCTTCAACATTAACAGTTAAGAATTTAATCAAAAACTACCTAATAGAAATCAATAGACATTAAAATTAAGTATTTATTCAATATAAAGTACAAACTAGTAATGCTTACCCACTCATATTTTCAAGAATTCCCATAATGGGAATACCAGTTTTTCGACAGAATGTGATCTCTTTGCGGACATCTTCTATGGCAACTTGCTGTGGTGTTGTTACCAATATAGCTGAGCATTGTGGAACTTGTCGTAAATTCTCCATCACTGTTATATGTTCATCAGATGTGCCTATAATTAAATTATATATATTCATTAAAATCTCTATAATATTAACTTAAACAGAGTATTGATAATTTTGGTTTAAATCACTAATAATGTTTTTAAAATATTTTAAAAATCAATACTATACAAATACCTGGTGGTGTATCTATGACAAGAAAATCTAAATCTTGCCAATAAACATCCTCTAAAAATTGTTTAATCATTGATGTTTTTTTCGGTCCTCTCCAAACAACGGCATCGTCCCGAGACTTTAAAAGGAACCCAATAGACATAACACCTAGTTTTTGTTCTTCATCTAAGTACACAGGAACCCAACCTTCTGGACCTTGATGAATACTTTGGCCTTCTAAATTCAACAAATATGGAACACTTGGCCCACATAAGTCAATATCAAGTAACCCAACCTAAAAAATAACAATTATTTAAATTGTAACATTGGTGTGATGTACTTTATATCCAAAAATTAAAAGTACCTATGTGTAAGAAAATCTAAATACTTGTTATTTCTAACCTTAAAACCTCTTTCTTTAAGTGTCAGGGCTAACTGTGTGCTAACTGTTGATTTTCCAACTCCGCCTTTACCTGATAGCACTAATATTATTTGTTTTACGTTTTCTAACATATTTAAATATTTACAAATATGTAAAAATAGCTCAAATATTTTTAGATTTTTAACTGTCAAAATATTATTAAGTAATAATATATACTCTATGGTAATAATAGAGTAAAAAAATCATCTATTTCGAGCTATTGGAGCGATTTTTCTAAAATAACTTCTTGTGCTTATTAAACTAGTAAAAATATTTGTCTATATAATTTTTATAATAAAATTAATTTTAAAGTGGTTTTAGGTACAATAAAATAATTTTGAAGTTTATTCTAATTACTAAGAATCTATACCCAGAAATTAAAAAAAATATTACATAAAGAAGGCGCTTGCGCCAAAAAGCGATAGTAGCGACGCCTTGTATATTTTTTGTCAGTTTTGAATGGATTTTCTAGGCTGAAGTCGTGTGGATTGTGTGCCGGTTCTTTTATAGGGAGATGCTACATTTTTTTCATTTTTTAACAGATTACTGGACGTTTTATGACATAATTAGTTCTTGATATTGTTACTTCTTTTGTTTCTTATAATTTTTAAGTGAACATCAGTGCTTGTGTGTTTTATTTGCGTAGTATTTGAGTTCAGTGGTTGTGCAAGATTTTCTAGGGACAAGGCACGAGATTCCAAACACAATAATCTATAGCTTTCTGACATATATAAGGTATTTATATTCAACTATAAATAATTAATATACTTAATTTACTTTTGTGTTTAATTTGACGTAATACTTGAGAGTATTTATAAACGCTGCCTTGTGCGTACTCTCGTGTGCATGGTCGATCCACCCTTAAAATATCGCTATGATTGGTTGAGGATAGATTTAAACTAATGAACTGTATAATATTTATTCAGATTGTTAATCATAAAAATGACACTATTAATATCTGCAGCCACGCCTCTTACAAATAATATCGTAGTACAATTATTTTAACTCAAGTCAGTGTACTTGTGAAGCAATTAGACTTATGTTAATAAAAAAATAAATTCTTAATGAGATGTACGTGAAGCTTGTCCGACGAAATCAATATTTAAACAATTTATCACTTACTTTTTTTTTAATATATTCTAGTGTAATAGTATTCTAATAATATTGAAATAAATTCTTATTAAATATAGTTTATATTTAAAATAATCAATAATCAGTGTTAAATAATTAACTATGAATTGGGTAATTGTTACATTCAAAGTATGATTAGTATTATTTAATTAAAAGTTGTAGAAATTTGTATTTTATAAAAATTTTACCATTAATAGTTTCAAAATCCAGTTGTTTTCAACCATATGCTTATTGCTTAAAAAGAGGAATGCATTGTATCTCGTTTCTAAGATATTTTTCTTTTCTTTTAACCTATCTATAAAAATCTAAAATAATCCTAGTTATTATTAAGTAAGTATATTACAATTAATTACATATATTTTTGTTATCATGTCCTCTACATTCTATGTGCCATTTTTAAGGGAATATGTGTACAAATTTTTAGTTGATTATTTTTCTATTGTGCCTTCTGATATTTAAGTTTATTTAATTGTCATTATTAATATAATCTAGAAAGTTATACAAAATTTATTGAACAATATTTAAATGTTGAAGCTGTAAAAATAGTTAAACACAAAGACTCCAGAAACTATAAAAATCATCTGCTGTGACATTATTGGAGACCCAAGACCCTACAATGGTTAAAGGTGAAAGAAATAGCAACTCTAATGTAAAAATTACAGGAGCAACAAAAATATAAGCAACAGATTTGTGAGTGACACAATATTAGATGTGAATAGACTCAAACTGTCTTAAATATAATAACAATTCAGATCTTATTAAAGCTAAGTAGCTGATTGCAGATAAATAAAAATGAGGTAAACACAAAATACAAGTTAACTTTATAATCATACTGGCGGCAGACCCTCAATAAAAACAAATCTATCCCTCGGAAACCATATATTTTTCAGGATAAAAAGTAGCCGTAAAGTAGTAGTAAATATGTGTTATTCCAGACTATAATCTATCTCTGTGCTAAATTTCATCCAGATCCGTTCAGCCGTTCTGGCGTGAAAGAGTAACAAACATCCATACATACTCACAAACTGACATAATATTAGTATAGATTATTTCAAATCTGATTATTTTCATTGTCCATATAGCAAAAGCTATATTATTGATTTACAATTATTATTGTTCTAATAGCACTTTCTGCCCCGTGTGTCTGTGACCTTAGAGTAATAAATAAGGGTGTACCTTCTCACCCCTTGTGAGTCACAGCGAGGGTTGGAATTTGAACTTTTGGCTGTTATCTTAATTATTGATTTTAATATTTGGGCTACTTAAATGGTGAAAAAAATGAGTAAATACTTTATTGTTTACAGTTTTATTATGAAGCACTATGCTTTTTTATTAAGCATTCTGAATTATATATGATTAGTTATAAATTTATGATGTAAAGTAAAAAGGAAAAACAATAAACGTCACGACACTTTCGTCACGATGTTATTATATAGACGTAGTGCGTAACTGAATATCTAGCCATCTAGCCATCTACCAGTTAGGTAGTAAAAATGTAAGTGCACACACATATTTCTCAACGAGATTTCATCTTTTATACATTTACAGTGGAATATTAAAGAGCAGTGAACAAATGAATTTTATACCTCCAGGTAAATTTCTAAGAAAGTAATTAATTTTTTAAGAAATCTATTGTTAACTGTAACGCCGGCGTGTCCGCGGTCGTTGAGGGACTAATATGATATGGTTTTGTTATTGATATGACGACATATAAAATAAGATTTGGAACTTAGGTGTTTCTGGTGTTACCAAATGCGCGTTTGTCACCAAAATATAAACTATATTTCGAATTTCATTAAAATCCTTTGAAGAAGTGCTAAGTTAAACATTACTCTAATATTAAATCAAGCTTGAATTTTTCTATAGCACCTGTTTTCTTATTATTATTTAGTATTAAGCCAGTGGGTTACAGGCACGAGTTACGTAATATCTTCGTACGTTGAACCAGTGCTTTCCAAATTTTAATATTAGCTTATTAGAAAAGTTAGACAGTTTCATCCGATTAATTCGTAAAGATCTTCGATCGATTATAGGGTGCAACCTGGGTAGGGCGCACCCGCTAGCCCTCACCAAACAATTAACATTGAGATTTGTATATATATGCTACAGCGTGATTTTTGCTGAGTGAAAAAGTACTAATCTATACTAATATTATAAAGAGGTAAAGTTTGTGAGTTTGTGACGTTGTAGGGGGTAATCTCTGGATCTACTGAACCGATTTAGATGAAAGGTAAAAAAATAGTATGATACCCTGGGAAGGACATAGGATACCTTTTATCCCGGAAATCATCTCTTAAGGGGGTGAAAATGGGGATGAAAGTTTGTATGGAGAATCAAGTTAGGGACGAAACCGAGCGAAGCGAGGGTGAGTCGTTAGTTCTTCTTTAAAACTGAGTATAGGGACGACATGTTGTTTTGCATAGATTTATAGATTGAAGTATTTCATATGTTACTTTACATTTTTGTTGGTTAAATGATTCCTATATTGGTCTGTTACAAAATGTTACCTGATCTAAGGCAGACTTCATTAGTATAAACTATAAACATACAAAAAACCTATATTTATATAATAAACTTACTTCTGATATATATGATAGGTATAATTATAAAAGCAGTATTTAAATCAATTAGATCCAATTTTAGACATAAAATGTTACAGTCTGTAGCTATTATTTAGCATGGTTAGTTCAAAAGCCATGACGCGATCTATCTCCCTCATAATATTTCATTTGAAACATGAAAAAATATCCTCGTATTTATTACTGTGCTTGAAATGAGTACAAAGCATTGTTATTCTTTCATAAAATAAATATAGGCAAGTTGGAATAACATTTAGCATTCGTGGCATTCGAGACCTCTTAAAAATGTGGTTGCGTAAAAACTTCATGGAATAAATTCCCGTCAAAAGCAGATTAAATAGTCTCGCTTCAAGCGTTTTTATCGTATCGTTTTGGATCTTGCCAACGAAAATACTTCTATATTTTTATTGTTAGTTCAAAAAAGAACACGTATGTATTACACCTTCCCCATTTAAACATTTAATCCCTCCACGACCACGGACACGCCGGCGTGTCAGTTAACAATAGATTTTGTTAGAATTTTAATTAATTTCTTAGAAATTTACCTGGAGGTGGTCACACGAAATCGTCTATATATTAGTGTATAAATATTTGTTCAGTGTTTTTATAGCCGAAAAAAGCAGTGGAACAGGCAGAGGGATATGAAGTCATCCTATAAGGTACTTCTCACTCTTAATTTTTTTTATTACCTACAGATGTATCTATATAGTTTTAACATTACGTAGATATAATTAAATTTATTTTAAATAAAACTATTTTTTCGGATTTTTTCGCGGATTTATTTGGATTTTTGGTTCCAATCCAATTTTTGGTTCCATTCCAAAATTTATTTATTAAGTAACATCTTTTATCTTATTTTTTTATTATTTCGTAAACTCTTTATGTGGCCCTTATTTGATGGAATATTAACCACCTAATTTGTATCCGTTCCTGAAGTGGTTTGGTCGGGAACCAAAAATCAAAATAAATCCGCGAAAAATCCAAAAAACTAGTTTTATTTAAAATGTCAAATATTCGCGTAAATCTAAGAAAATATTAACAGAGTATTGAGATATTTTTTTAATACTTATATTAGGTATCGTGCTATAGTTTTAGCTTCATTTTACTTATTGATATCCAAATATGTACGTCCAAAGTCCGGTATTTTGTCAGATCTGGGGTTAGTAGTATCGTAACCACAGCCCTAATTCCTCCGGACACCGAATCCCCGTTTGGCAATGCGTTTACAAATATCTAGGTCATAAATCAACAGCATGGGGGATCGACTATTATTGGATACATCCAGCTGTGAATTGTTAATACTGTATTATTCCCTTGTGGTCAGGGGTTCTTATAATTTACATGGTAATTAATAATTATAATATTAGTGATTATACATAAAT